TTTTTCAAAATTGCATCGCAAATTTTGTGCAAAATTCCTTGATAAACTTGCAATGGTGTTGGTGTAAAAATTCGAAGGGAATCGAAGGAAGAGTTTCATTTGCAAGGGTCACGGTATCGTGAGGCGCATAAAACTTGCATCGAGAATTGACGTCCTCGAGAACCGGCCGATTTCGAGTTTCCGCCCAAGGAGAAAATAATAAGAAACTTTGCAACCTGTAAATGCGAAGGAGGGGATCCCCGGGGGATTTGGGCCGGGGAATTTTCGTTGAAATATAGCGAGTGAAAAGGAAACCGTAGCGAAGGGAACTTTTTCTGCGTGCAATACGGATTGAGACACGAATGAAAGAGATTTCTGAGAAGGATCAACTCTTCTCGTAAAAAGGAATCGGTTGTACGACGATAGGAGAATCTTTGAGACCCACATCATTCGGTCCAGTTCGTTGCTTGGATTGGATCTAGCAAGGAGGTTTCGATATTTGATTCTCGATATTTCGAGGTTGTTATAAAATTAACACGAATTTAATGGAATTACATAAAAATGGAAATATCGATAGATTTCAAAATACAATGGTAATATTCTTGCACTATTTTATTCGATATATTACTTATATAATAATTATATATTAATTACAAATATGAATTTCTCAGAACAGTTCTCTTTCTAGAGCACCAACTGTACGATTTATAATTTCATCTTTAATTCAGGATTGGATCTTCGTTAAATTAACATATTTACTAAACCTTCCTCTAAATCCAATAAAAATAATCAATACGAATTGAATTATAAAAAGTGAATTATATATTTCACTATAAACAAAATAGACAGAAACAGGAGAGCAGAGAAGAAATATCGAAAATCGAGCTAGATAACAAGTTCCTTTCGGACACCAGATATCATCCTCCCCTTTCCCATCCCTTTCCATCCTCTCCTATCAATTTCACAGAGAGGAAAACAAAGAGCAGCAGCAACTCCTTATAAAATATATCCACACGCAACACGACCCACATAGCTCGACGCAGTCCTTCCCGCCATTAAGTCGGGTATAATTCCACGGAGCCGGAATTTATACTCTCCGCGGTGTTTCCACGAGGAGGGATGATCCCTCCTCCCTCTCTCTCTCTCTCCCCCCTCCTCCACCGATTCGCGTATATCGCGAAAACGTATACGACGCGGCCG